TATTTTTTTTTAAGATTTTGCTTATTTATTTGAGAGGTAGAGTTACAGAGAAGGGGAAAGACAGAGAGAAAGGTCTTCCATCTGCTGGTTCACTCCCCAGATGACTCAAACAGCCAGAGCTGTGTGGGGAAATTAGACACACCAGGCAATTCAAAGATGGCACCCAAAGGAAGTAAGGTGGGCGGAACCCAGAGTTGTTTACCACCAAAGCTGATTGGCTGCACAGCATCAGGGGAAGTGACGACAACTGATGACGAGTGTAGACATATAGCTAGTACTATGAAAAATCGCCCCATAAAATGACCTTTTAAGTAACTGGTTGATCCTTATGCCCTGCCCCAATGACTCTGCAGTTTTGTGCTTTAAAAGGCTTTGCTAGGCACACAATAAATGAGTTCTTGCTTGACTTGACTCCCAACTGCGTCTGATTATCTCTGGGATTGGGAGGCTGGGGAACGGGCGAGTGGTGGGCTTACCTTTCCTTGGACCCAGTCCATCCTCGTTTGGGTGGACTAAGACCATACAGAGCTGGGTTGATCCGAAGCCAGGATCCAAGAGCTTCATCTAGGTCTTTCATGTGGACGCAGGGGCCCAAGCACTGGGCCATCTTCTGCTTTCCCAGGCCATAGCAGAGAGCTGAATAGGAAGCAGAGTAGCTGGGACATATGCCACAGCGCCAGTCCCTTCAGCCCAGTTCTAACCATGGCTGGCATTTGGAGAACTTCCCATCCACTGGTATGAGAATTCTTTGTCTCTCTCCTTCTTTCGAATAAATAAAACTTTCTACAAAAAAGTTTTAGTATATTTTGATTCAAATTGTGTCAATTGTCTCAATGTCCTTTGTAAGAAAAAAAATGGCAAAATCATTTTTGCTGGCCCAGGTTCCCCTCCAGGGTCACATCCCACATTTAATGCACACATGCAGAAGGTGCCAGAAGGAAACAAAGTTTCTGAAATACATAAATTTGTATGAAGTGTTTTTTTTTTTTCTAAATGGAGCCTGGCTGTAAACCAGAGGAAAAATTCCTTTACAGCAGTGTTTTGGTGAAGAGCTAGATTGGAGCTTTCAGCTGCTTTAGTTGCATCTACAGGAAACCTGATAACAAGAATGCATTTGGGGCCGGTGCCGCGGCTCAAAAGGCTAATCCTCCACCTAGCGGTGCCGGCACACTGGGTTCTAGTCCCAGTTGGGGCGCCGGATTCTGTCCCGGTTGCTCCTCTTCCAGGCCAGCTCTCTGCTGTGGCCCAGGAAGGCAGTGGAGGATGGCCCAAGTGCTTGGGCCCTGCACCCGCATGGGAGACCAGGAGAAGTACCCGGCTCCTGGCTTTGGATTGGCGCAGCATGCTGGCCATTGCAGCCATTTGGGGGGTAAACCAACAGAAGGAAGACCTTTCTAACTCTGCCTGTCAAAAAAAAAAAAAAAAAAAATGCAAGTGTTTGGCCTGGAGGTTAATGCTGGTTGGGACACTGCATCCCACGTTGGAGTCCAGTCCTGGCTCCATTCCTGACTCCAGCTTCCTGCTAATGCACACCCTGGGAGGCAGCAGGGGACAGCTCAACCACGTGGGAGCCTGGACTGAGTTCCTAACTCCTGAATTCCGCTGACCCAGTCCAGGCTACAGCAGGCCATTTGCAAAGTGAGTAAGAAGATGGGAGCTCTCTTTGCCTCGCAAATAAATAAAAATTATTTAAAAAATTCACTGGGTAGGGCAGGTGGGCCATTTTCTGCTGCTTTCCCCAGCGCATTAGCAGGGAGCTGGAACGGAAGTACAGCAGCTGGAACTGGGGCCCATACTGGATGCCAGTGTGGCAGGCAGTGGCTTAGCCCGATGTGCCACAACACCGCTCCCAACATTCTCCTCTTTAAAAGATTTATCTAAAGGGTGGGTGCTGTGGCGTGGAGGGTAAAGCTGTCACCTGCAATGCTGACATCCCATAATGGGCACCGGTTTCAGTCCTGGCTGCTCCACTTCTGATCCAGCTCCCTGCTAACGAGCCTGGGGAAGCAGCAGACGATGGTACAAGTCTTTGGGCCCCTGCACCTACATGGGAGACCCAGATGTAGCTTCTGGCTTCTGGCTGTGGATCAGCCCAGCTCCAGCCACTGTGGCCACTTGGGGTGTGAACCAGCGGATGGAAGATTGCCTTCTCTCTGCCTCTCCTCTGTAACTCTTTCAAATAAATAAATAAGTAAATCTTCTAATAAAGAAATCATAAAAAAGATATATTTTATTCATTTGAAAGAATTACAGAGGGAAAAAAGGAGAGATCTGCCATCCACTGGTTCACTCCTCAAATGGCCGCAACAGCCAGGGCTGGGCCAGACCGGAGCCAGGAGCCAGGAGCTTCTTCTGGGTCTCCCAGTTGGGTGCAGGGGCCCAAGGATTTGCACCATCTTCTACTGCTTTCCTAGGACATTAGCAGAGAGCTGGATCGGAAGTGCAGCAGCCAGGTCTTGAACCAGTGCCCATATGGGATGCCGGCACTGTGAATTGGTGGCTTAACCTGTTACACCACAAGCAGCCTCAGCCCTGTGGCTCTGCCACGGCTTCTGGTTGTCCTGGTGGCACTGGGACCGGTGATGTCCAACTCCCACTATGACACGGCTGTCATCACAGGAAGCTTGCGGGAAGGAACGCTCTGAGCCCGATGGGAAACCTACACGAGTCCACTCTGTCTGAGGGGTGTGAGATGCTGTCCTGTTGGGATTCTCGAGGCATCATCAAATGTAATACAGGACAATGCTGTGACAAAGGACAGGGCCCTGTCTCAGCAATGAGGTCAAGCTCGAAAGGCGGCAAGCAGAGGAGTGAGTCCTGGAACTGAAAGATGACGCAGTCCTGCGTTCTGTGAGGAACCCGATGCCGTCACCCTCAGGAGTGCCCGGTTGGCCAGGGGCAGGGATCCCTGAGGGCGACCCTATCCCGAGGATCAGAACCCCGGCCTCCCCGCCCTCCGTGTTGGTTACCACCGGGAACCCACAGGATACCAGGATACCAGCATCAGATGACACGTGCACAGCACGTGACCGCACCCAGGGGCAGGGCAGTCACACAGCCCAAGAGGTATTCTCTGCGCAGCGGTACAAATTCAGAGTGGAAGAGACTTCCAGACTGTCCTGCCAGTGATTTTTATTTATTTATTAATTTTTTAAGATTTGAAAAGCAGAGTAGCAGAGAGAGAAGTTCTTCATCTGCTGGTTCACTGCCCAAATGCCTGCAAGGCTGTGGCTGAGCCAGGCCAAAGCCAGGAGCCTGGAACTCGGTCTGGGTCTCCCACTTGGGTGGCGGGGGTCCAACTACTGAGCTGTCACTCCAATGTGGGATCCACCAGGCCAAATGCCCATCCCTCACATTTTTTAAAATAAACTCATCTTTTAATTCCATTTCCTCATAAACTTTTGACGTATTCTTGTATCATCATCATTTTTTAAAAGATGTATTTATTTATTTGAGAGGCAGAGTTACAGAGAGAAGGACAGACAGGTCTTCCAACTGCTGGTTCACTTCCCAAATGGCCACACAGCTGGAGCTGGGCCCATCCAAAGCCAGGACAGGAGCTGCCTCCGGGTCTCCCACGTGGGTGCAGGGGCCCAAGCACCTGGGCCATCCTCCATGCCTTTCTCAGGCCACTAGAAGGCAGCTGGATTGAAGTGGAGCAGCCGGGACTCAAACCGGCATCCAACCGGGATTCCGTTTGGAATCCACTGCAGGCAGAGGCTTAGCCTACTATGCCACAGTGCCAGTCCCACCAACGAGTTTCCCGTAATTACCTTACACGGAAACCCCACTATGTACAGCACACCAAGCAGAAGTACTGTGGAAGGGCCAGTGCCGCAATGTAGAAGGTTAAGCCTCCACCTGCAGTGCCGGCATCCCATATGGGTGCCAGCTGGAGTCCCGGCTGCTCCACTTCCCATCCAATTCCCTGCTAATGGCCTGGCAAAGGAGAGGAAGATGGCCCAAGTCTTTGGGCCCCTGCACCCACACTGTAGATCCAGAAGAGGCTCCTGGCTTCGGATTGGCCCAGCTGTGGCATAGAGGGTCCCAGTTCCTGCCTGCAAAGGGCGAGCTGCACAGCCCTGCTGGGCCTCCCATCAGGGATCGGGCACGGGACAGCTCCCCACCAGAGGCGGCAGTGCCCTAAAGGAAGGGACGCCCCTTGCAATCGGCACAAACGCCCCCAGCCCTGCAGTCAGTCCTGGTACAAACTGACGCCATTTGTAATAAAACAAGAGGAAAGAGAAGTCTGAGTGGCAGCCGGCTCGCCAAGCTGAGGTCCCGTGTTTCTGGGGACCAGACAGTGACAAGCCCAGTCCTCTTGCCCTCAGGTGGGGATGCTGAGGTTCAGAGAGGGGTTAAATGACCAACTCAAAGCAACAAGACTGAAAAAAAAGTGAATGGAGCCCAGGCTTCCTGGCTCCTATTCCTTCCCAGAGTTCATTTCATTGTGTCCACATTCAAAGACTTAATAAAATAGAGGGGGCCGGTGCTGTGGCGCAGTGGGTAAAGCCGCCATCTGCAGTGCTGGCATCCCATATGGGCGCCAGTTCGTGTCCCGACTGCTCCACTTCCAATCCAGCTCTCTGCTGCGGCCTGGGAAAGCAGTGTAAGATGGTCCAAGTCCTTGGGCAACTGCACCCGCTTGGGAGGCCTGGAACAAGCTCCTAGCTCCTGGCCTCGGATTTTGGCGCAGCTCAGGCCGTAGTGGCCAACTAGGGAGTCAACCAGTGGATGGAAGACCTCTCTCCTCTCTTTCTCTCTGTATCTCCTCTCTATGTGTAACAGTTTCAAATAAATAAATAAATCTAAAAAAGAAATAAAAATAGAATTGTTGGCACATAATTCCAAAAACAGTGACAGAAAAAGCAGCAGTTTTCTCAAGGTCAAGGTCAGGATGACAGCAGAGAAGAACCGCATGGAGTCTCTCCATGCCCGGCTGAGTCACACAGCTCAGGGTGCAGGAGCAGAGTGTGCAGCCGACCATCCGCCAGCACGGGTGTTTGACAAGTCAAGCTTTATTACTTATTTCTGGGCACAGTAGTCGACAATTCGTAAAATGGGCCACTTCATGCCCCTTGCATGCCAGTGACCGCTCCCCCACAAATGAACATTTCCCCCAATCCATGGAGCCCGGAGCCCAGAGACCTGTGCAACATGAAAGAGAATGAGTTTTTCCATAAAACCAGTCTCAACACTGATCCGAACAGCCAAACTCTGGATTTCAGCAGCGGCTTTACAGGAGAAAATCAACAAACATGTAAAACACGACAAAGCAGCGCTGGATTCGTCTCTAACTCTTTACTTAGCCCTGATTCGTTGCTTATGGATGGTCAGCTCAGGGACTGTTGCAAGCCCCATCTCGGTCACCTTAATTCAAGCTGAAAAACAAAACAAAAAGCGCCTGCCCAGGGTCAGGCATCCCTGGCCACCCAGGGATGAAAATCCAAGTGAAGAGGACAACGAGAGCCTCAGCTCAACATCACGCGGGCTTCTGACGCGAGGGATCCCGGCACAACCTGGGACTCAGCCACGCCCATCGCCCCTGCCCCCTGCGCTGGGACCCCACGAGCTGAGAGGCAAAGCCGCCAGGACCCAGACCTGCACCAGAGCACTGGGCTCAGGTCCGACGCGGGTGGGCGAGGGAGGTGAGGCCGGGGAGGGCCCCGGGCGCCCTCAGGTCAGAGGGCAATGGCTATCACGTGTTACTCACTTTAAAAAAGGTAACTATGAGGGAAGAGACCTGGGCCACACTCCTCTCCTCGGACGTCTGGGGAAAGCAGCCGCTCTGACGCGACGCCGCAGGAGCTACCGCGGCACTAAGGGACGCCGAGGGTTGGCGATTCGTGGAGATCTCTCCTCTCATCTTGTCACAAGGTACAAATCCACACAGAAACCCACACTGACAAATGTCCGAGTCGGACATGACTGCTCTCACATCCGCTGTCTTCCTGGCTTTATTCGGTGCCTCTGTGACACCATGGCGACGGTGGGTGACCAGTGACGTCAGGAGCGCCAGAAGGAGGAAGTCAGAAAGCCCTTGGGAACAGGAATCTCCCTGCGTTGCAAACATTTCTGGCCAAGGAAAGACAGAGAAAACGGCATGAGTTTGTGGCAGCACTGCCGGCGGCACACAGCAGCGGGAGGAAACCAGGGAGGGCCGGCTCACGTCCCGCGGACACCGGGCTGACGGGGCGCGCAGGAGCCGGGAGGGTGGGCGGCCTCTGCTTTGCATGAGCCGCAGCACAGCACAGCACGGCACGGCTGACGCCGCCGCCCCAGCCCCGCCTCCCCGCAGCTTCAACTCAGCTCCTCCGCTGAGCTCCGGGAAGCTGAGTGTCCGGCTGTCCCGGCAGACCTCCCACGGAGTTCCACATTATGTGTGAGAAGTCACCTCGGAAAGGTTCTTGGCACTTGGGAATCGGGGGAGAGGCCAGCTCAAAGTGCAGGCTGTCCTCCCAGAAAAACAGCCGCGCGTGCCAGGGCCCCAGGCCCGGCCTGCAGGCAGCGCTGAGCCGAGATGCACTAAGCATGTCCCTTCGTCTGTTAGGACGCCCCCTTCAGACGACACGGACGGCAGCCCCTAATCCAAAGGCTGAGAGGGAATTATGAGCGGACAGCAGGGTTCCGAGAAACAGAGGGAGAGACTGCAAATGGTGCATCTGGAGGCCCGAGGCTTGTCACACACGGCACCATCCAGGCCACTGACAGACAGCTGGGACGTAGGGTCCAAGGGCGTGTTACCTCAAGGAACTGCTGGAGGCGTATGAAGGAGCCCATCTGGCCTGAACTTGTGATGGCTTCAATTCTACAGAAAAAGAAAGACGAGCCGTGAGTGACGTCTGGGTGTGCACCTGTCTGCTGGGGAAGTCAGGTGAGCTGTGGCTCTGGAAGGAAGGGGTGGGCGCAGTGACCCCAGAAATGTCCTCCAAGCTAAGAAGCTGGCCCCTTCCAGAGGAGGTCCCAACCTGCTCTTCAAACAGGAGGGCAAGAGGAGAGGGCACTGTTCCTGCACAAGGTCTCTCCAGTTCTGAAAGGCTTACCGCTAGGGTTGGGTTAGGCACGTGAAAGAAAGGGTACTTGGAAGGCAATGCTACACTAGGGTCCAGAAAACCCTGGATAAATTGGTTCCTCCAACATTTTATTTTAATTAAAAAAAATTTCTTTTGACAGAGAGAGGGAGATCTTCCATCTGCTTGTTCACTCATCAAATGCCTGCCACCAGCCAGGGCCCAAGCCAGGAGACTGAAACGCAGCCTGGATCTCCTAATGGCTGGCAGGGGCCCAAGCACTTCATCCTCCACCTGCTGCCTCCCAGGCTGCATCAGCAGGAGCTGGACCAGACGTGGAGGAGCTGGGGCTTGAACTGGCACTCGGATATGGGATGTGGGTGTTGCAAGCGGAGGCTTCATCTCCCGTGCCAAGACACCTGCCCCTGACACATACATCTGTTTCTCTCCCTCTCTCTCTCTCTTTTTTAAAAATATTTATTTACCTGAAAGGCAGAGTTATAGAAAGAGAGAGAGAAGATAATTTTCCATCTGCTGGTTCATTTCCCAAACAGTTCCAACACCCAGGGCTAAGCCAAAGACAAGAGTTTCATCCAAGTCACCCAGGTGGGTACAGGGGTTCAAGCACTTGGGCCATCCTCTGCTGCTTTCCCAGGCACATTAGCAGGGAGCAGGATAGAAGTGGAGCAGCCGGGACTCACACTGACACCCATATGGATACCAACATTGCAGGTGGTGGCTTGACTGGCTACACCACAATGCCAGTTTTGATACAGGTATTTTTTTTAAAGACTTATTTATTTATTTATTTGAAAGAGTGACACAGAGAGGGAAGTCTTCCATCCACTGGTTCACTCTCCAATTGGCCACAATGACTGGAGCTGTGCCCATTCAAAACCAGGAGCCAAGAGCTTCTTCTGGGTCTCCTATGAGGGCGCGGGGCCCCAGGGACCTGGGCCATCTTCTACTGCTTTCCCAGGCCATAGCAGAGAGCTGGATCACAAGTGGAGGGGCCAGGATTCGAACTGGCACCCATATGAGATGCTGGCACTGCAGGCAGTGGCTTTACCCACTACGCCACAGCACCAGCCCCAATACAGGTATTTTCAACCTGAATAAAAAATAACATGTAGGGGCTGGCACTGTGGCATAGCATGTTAACTCGCTGCCTGCAGCACCAGCATCCCATATGGGCACTGGGTCGAGTCCCGGCTGTTCCTCTTCCAATTCAACTCCCTGCTAATGTGCCTGGGAAAGAAGCAGAAGATGGCCCAAGTACTTGGGCCCCTGCACCCACATGGGAGACCTGGAAGAAGCTCCTGACTGGCCCAGCTCCAGCTGTTGTGACCATCTGGGGAGGGAACCAGCGGATGGAAGATCCTTCTCTCTGTGTCTCTCCTTCTCTAACTTTCAAATAACTAAACAAATCTTTAAAAACACACACACACACACACGTAAAAGGGTGAGTACTGTGGTGCAGTGGGTTCAAAGCTGCTGTTTGGGATACTTGCATCCCAGACAGGAGTGCTGGTTTCAGTCCCAGCTGCTCCACTTCCAATCCAGCTCCCTGCAATGCATCCTGGGAGACAGCAGACGATGGCTCCAGTGCTTGGGCCCCTGCCATTCGCACAGGAGACCCAGGCAGAGTTTCAGGTTCCTGCCTTTGATGTAGTCTAGCTCTGTGTGTTGCAGGCATTTGGGGAGTGAATCAGCAGATGAAAATCTGTGTGTGTGTGTGTGTGTGTGTGTGTGATTCTGCCACGCAAGTAGATGAAAATAAACAAACAAGAAAAACCACATAGGCATGGGCATTTGGTGCACCAGTTAAGACACAGACTGGGATATCTACACCCTGCAACGAAAGTATCTAGTGTGAGTACCAGCTCCACTTCAGAGTCAGCTTCCTGCTGGCGTGAATCCTGGGACAGCACGTGATGGCTCAAACACTTCAGACCTTCCCACCCATCTGAGACCTGGCAAGAGTTCCAGGCTCCAGGCTTCAGCCTGGCCCAGCCTCAGCTGGTGTCTGCATTTGGGGTGTGAAGCAAAAGATAGAAGGTAAGTTGTCTCTCTCTTTCTCTCTCTCTCTCCTCCTTTTAAGTAAAGTGAGAGTAAATTTTAAGCAACCAAAAAGCCATGTAAAAGCATGCATGCAAGGGTATCTGATATCTGACTTGTGATTTTACAAAGCCCCTGCTGCCTGCCCAGGGAACTCAGTACCTGGGAAAGTACTCCTCCTTGATGAGAAGAATCATCTTCCAGAACTGGAGCTGGTACTGCTTCATGAGGGCATTCCCACACACCTGGAGGGAAAGCAGGCACAGTCAGGGCAGAGACGGGAGATCCACAGTGCAGGAGACCCTGCACCACCAGCTCTCACAAGGCCAGGGAGCTGGCTACCCAGGGAAGCAGCAGCAAACGCCAACTCCTTCCGAAGCACTTCTGACTCTAGAGTCCACCAGATCTCAATGGACTGCTCTGTTACTCTACTGAAAGGAAGCGTTCCCAGGAGTAGGGTGTGCCTCTCAGTAAGCAGGACAGACAGAACACCACTTGTGTTCCCAGTGACTCAGGATCACTGTTCCTGTACAGCGACTTTGGCCTGTGACATCACAGGCCCAACCTTTCTTCCTGTTGCTTTGGAAGAGATTTAGTTATTATTTATTTGAAAGGCAGAGTGACACAGAGAGGAAAGAGATACAACTTCCATCTGCTGGTTCACTCCCCAAAATGGCTGCAACAGCCAGGTCTGGGCCAGGCTGAAGCCAGGAGCCAGGAACTCCATCTAGTCTCCCAAATGAGTGGCAGGGTCCCAAGTACTTGGGCCGTCTTCCATTACCTTCCCAGGAACACGAGCAGGGCGTTGGATTCAAAAGCAGAAGAGCCGGGACTCAAACCAGCACTGCAATGTGGCATGCCAGCATCATGAGTGGCAGCTTAACCACCGTGCTACAGTGCTGGCCGCGAACCTTCTTCTCTAAGAATTGTCCCCTTAGGGGATGGCGCTGTGGCGCAGCAGGTAAAGCCACCGCCTGCAGTGCCGGCATCCCACATGGGCGCCGGTTCGAGTCCCAGCTGCTCCACTTCTGATCCAGCTCTCTGCTATGGTCTGGTAAAGCAGCAGAAGATGGCATAAGTCCTTGGGCCCCTGCACCCGTATGGGAGACCCAGAAGAAACTCCTGGTTCCTGGCTTCGGATTGGCACAGCTCCAGCCGTTATGGCCATTTGGGGAGTAAACCAGCAGGTGAACCTCTCTCTCTGCCTCTCTGTAACTCTGCCTCTAAATTAATAAATAAATCTTGGGGCCTGTGCTGTGGCGCAGCGGGTTAAAGCCCTGGCCTGAAGCACCGGCATCCCATATGGGCACCGGTTCTAGTCCCGGCTGCTCCACTTCCGGTCCAGCTCTCTGCTATGCCCTGGGAAAGCAGTAGAAGATGGTCCAAGTGCTTGGGTCCCTGCACCCACGTGGGAGACCTGGAAGAAGCTCCTGGCTTCGGATCGGCACAGCTCCAGTTGTTGCAGCCATCTGAGGAGTGAACCAGCAGATGGAAGACCTGTCTCTGTAACTCTGTCTTTCAAATAAATAAAATCTTTAAAAATAAATAAATAAATCTTTTTTTTTTTTGGTCAGGCAGAGTTAGACAGTGAGAGAGAGAGACAGAGAGAAAGGTCTTCCTTCCATTGGTTCATCCCCCTAATGGCTGCTACGGCTGGTGCGCTGCACCAATCCGAAGCCAGGAGCCAGGTGCTTCCTCCTGGTCTCCCATGCGGGTGCAGGGCCCAAGCACTTGGGCCATCCTCCACTGCACTCCCGGGCCACAGCAGAGAGCTGGACTGGAAGAGGAGTAATCGGGACAGAATCCAGCGCCCCAACTGGGACTAGAACCCGGTGTGCTGGCGCCGCAGGCAGAGGATTAGCCCAGTGAGCCGCAGCGCTGACAATCTTTTTTTTTTTTAAAGACAGTTACGAGAGAGGGAGAGACAGAGATTCATCTTCCATATGATAACTTATTCCCCAAATGGCTGCAACAGCTAGGACTTGGCCAGGCCACAGTCAGGAACTTCATCTGGGTCTCCCACACGGATGCAGGAGCCCAAATACTTGGGCCATCTTCTACTGCTTTCCCAGGACATAGCAGAGAGCCGGATCAGAAGTGGAGCAGCTGGGACACAAACTGGCACTCATATGGCATGCTGGCATTGCAGTGGTGGCTTAATCTGCTGTGCCACAGTGGCAGCCTCCAATTTTCTCTTGTTTATGATAAAAGAACATCCACACAGAGAGGACAAGCAGAGTGGGAAGAAAAAATGAAAGCTGGGATTGTCTTATGACATGGGAACCTCATGCCCAAACTCATCAGGCTCAATTTTTATTTTTATTTTATTTTACTTATTTTTATTAACTTGAGAGGTAGAGAAGAGGGAGCAGGAAGGACAGAAACTGAGAGACAGACAGACAGCGAGAACTTTGACCTGCTGGTTCACCCCAGTAACAGCCCGTAACAGCTAGGGACCAGGCTGAAACCAGGAGCCTGAAATTCCATCCAGGTCTCCCATGTGGGCGGCAGGGGCCCAGTACTTAAGTCATCACCACTGTCTCCCACGGTGGGCATTAGCAGGAAGCTGGAATCGGAAGCAGAGATGGGACAATTTCAACCAGGCACTCGGATATGGGATGCAGGTGTCCCAAGTGCACCAAATCGTCATCCCCAGGCTTCGATTCTATACTGTGTCCCCGGTCATGTCACCCAGTGGTCCCAGGCAGCACTGACAGTGGCCTTCTCCTCTGTGCTAACCGAATCACATACCTCCAAGAAGTCAAAGAGAAGAGTGGCTGTGACATCGGACAGGGGCTCCATGTTCAAGATCTGTGCCAACCAGCGCCAGCCATGATTTAGACCATGAGGGTGCGTCTGGAAGGAGAGAAGCCTGGTCATGCCTTGGTTTCATTTACTCAGAGACCTAACTCCCAATGTTATCACTCAGTTATCACCAGCGCACCTCGTTACCGTCTAACAGGGACTGTTATCACCAGGACACTGCGTTACCGTCTAACAGGGACTGTAATTACCAGCACACTGCGTTACCATGTAACAGAGACTGTTATCACCAGCACACTGTGTTACCGTGTAACAGGGACTGTTATCACCAGCACACTGTGTTACCGTGTAACAGGGACTGTTATCACCAGCACACTGCGTCACCGTGTAACAGGGACTGTTATCACTAGCACACTGCATTACGTGTAACAGGGGCTGTTATCACCAGCACACTGTGTTACCGTGTAACAGGGACTGTTATCACCAGCACACTGTGTCACCGTGTAACAGGGACTGTTATCACCAGCACACTGCGTCACCGTGTAACAGGGACTGTTATCACCAGCACACTGTGTTACCGTGTAACAGGGACTGTTATCACCAGCACACTGTGTTACCGTGTAACAGGGGCTGTTATCACCAGCACACTGTGTTACCGTGTAACAAAGACTGTTATCACCAGCACACTGTGTTACCGTGTAACAGGGACTGTTATCACCAGCACATTGTGTTACCGTGTAACAAAGACTGTTATCACCAGCACACTGTGTTACCGTGTAACAGGGACTGTTATCACCAGCACATTGTGTTACCGTGTAACAGGGACTGTTATCACCAGCACACTGTGTTACCGTGTAACAGGGACTGTTATCACCAGCACATTGTGTTACCGTGTAACAGGGACTGTTATCACCAGCACACTGTGTTACGTGTAACAGGGACTGTTATCACCAGCACACTGTGTTACCGTGTAACAGGGACTGTTATCACCAGCACACTGTGTTACGTGTAACAGGGACTGTTATCACCAGCACACTGTGTTACCGTGTAACAAAAACTGTTATCACCAGCACACTGTATTACGTGTAACAGAGACTGTTATCACCAGCACACTGAATCTCCAGGTCATCTAAACTAAGCACATGCTCAGACAGAAGTGGCATGAGCTAAATCAGTTCTGTTTTTTGTTTTTCGTTATTCATTTAAATTTACATATTTATTCTGAAAGCATTACAGAGAGGAAGAAACAGTGATCTTCCATCTGCTGGGTCACTCCTCAGATGGCGACAATGGATAAAGCTGGGCAGGGCCACAGCCAAGAGCTTCAGCTGGGTCTCCCAGGTGGGTGGTAGCACCCCAGACGTTTGGCCCATCTTCCGCTGCTTTGCCCAGGCCCTGAGCAGGAAGCTGGATCAAAAGTACAGCAGCCAGGACACAAACTGGCGTCCACAGTGGATGCGTGTCAGGTGGCAGCTTTACCTGTTACACAATGCCAGCCCCATTTTGTTTTTATTTTTGAAACCACTCTTCTTTTAAAATTTTTAAATATCACTTATTTTAGAGACAGAGATCTCCAATCCACTGGTCACTCCCCCAAACGCTTGCAATAACCGGGGCTGGGCCAGGCTGGAGTCAGGATTTCAATCCAGGTCTCGTGTGGGTGGCTGAGACCTGCAGCCTCCCAGCGTGCACACCAGCAGGAAGCTGCAGTCAGGGGTGGCACGCTGTGGGACCCCGGCACACCAGCAGTATCTTAACAGCTATGTCAAACACCCACCCACACATTTTGGTGTAGGGGATCCCTTTGATACACATGGGTCGGCTTCAGTTTCAGGGATTCCACAGACCGACAGTTTTCCTTGCTGACATTTCATTCATTCTTCATGAGATCTTTGGCACAGAAGCTGAGACGCAGCGGGTGCGCCATCAAGACTTCCTGAGGGACAGATACTGAGATGCTGCTCGGACGCCCACACCCCCTACAAACCTGCCTGGGCTCAAGTCCCAGCGCTGCATCCAATTCCAATTTCCTGCTAATGTGCTCCCTGGTTACCTGCCCAAGCACTTGGAACCCTGCCACCCACAGAGAAGACCCAGATGGAGTTTCAAGTTCCTGGCTTCAGCCTGGCCCAGCCCTAGCTATTGCAGTCATTTGGGGAATGAACCATTCCCTGCCTTGTAGATACCATAAAGAAATTTTGGAAAAAAAAAAAAAAAACATAAAAAACACTTCTACAATCACTCAACTTGTACTTTCCTCTTTAGGTCTTCAAGTCCATTAGCCTGTCCACCCTGCTCATCTCTTCTATTCCTTGAGCAGGGATGGGGCTGGTGGGGCAAAGGCCTGCCCCTGCGGCGTGGCTCACTGTCAGGCCTCCCTCTGCCGCCCGAGTGAAACTGTGTGATCCAGGTGATTTCTAGCCTAAGGAGGTCTACGCTGACAATTTCTTGCTCACTCCTCTTCTCCCCGGTGCACTCTGCAGGCGCTCAGGTCTCAGGTGTTGGCATCTGATCCTCCGCCAACACCTAGAGCTGCCTCCCACCCCTTGTCAGTCACCGCACAGGGCAAACACCACACGGGCCTGGTGCGAACATCCCTCGGTGACACCAGCCTTTCCCCCTCACCTCCTGTCGGTTTCCGTACGGCCACCGGAGCTGAATGATGGCGGCATAGAGACGGATCATCCCAGACATGCGTTTGAGGAAGGTGTCCTGCTGTTCCACCTTGGAATCCTTCACCTGGTAGCCAAGCATCCTGTGTGGGAATAAACAATTCAGTGTGACGGTGCACGGCTGAAAGCAACAACAGAGTATCATCACCTTTGCCGCTATGAACGTGCTATTACAAAGCACTACTTCTGTAGAAAACTTGGTCTACAATGCACTGCTATCTGTTGTCAGACGTGTGCTCCCTGTAAGCCCGTGAGGAGGCCTCTCGGTAAACGAGGGGGTGCAGGGGGTCCTCACTGCCTTTCATAAAGAGGGAACTGAGGCCCCAGGGGCTGAACGATTAGCCCACTGTTTCCAAGCTGCCAAGTGAAAAGCGAGGTAAATTCAAGACCTCTGGCTTCCAGATCCAGTGTTCTTCCTCTAAACTAACTGGACTTAATCCAAACCCACAGGCTGTTTCTGACAGTGTGCTCTGGGTACGTCAGAGGCGCTGGGAGTAGCGGGGAAACACCTTCCAGCTGTTTCTAGTC